CACGTGTCCTTGTATATTGGTTCCTGTTGTTCAGGGTAGATGCCTAGAAGTGGTATGACTGGGTCGTAAGGGAGGTCAATCTTTAGCTTTCTAAGGACCCTCCAGACTGCTTGAGCTACCTTTTTTAAACAGAGGTTGACTTGTGATTTTTCTGGTTATTTTTTCTTTATATTTAAAATTTTTATTGCTGGTACTAGGTCTCGGACTCAGGACCTGGGCACAATCCCTTAGCTTTTTCACTCAAAGTTGACACTTTAATACTCGAGCCATACTCTACTTTCCGCTTTTTGCTGGTTAATTGGAGATAAAAAGAGTCTCATGGCTGTGCACCGGAATAATCCTAGCTACTCAGGAGGCTGAGATTTGAGATTGTGGTTCAAAGCCAGCCTGGGCAGGAAAGTCTGTGAGACTCTTATCTCCAAATGACCACCAGAGCACCAGAAATGATGCTGTGGCTCAAGTGGTAGAATGCTCACCTTGAGCTAAAATGCTCAGGATCAGTGCCCAGACGCAGAGTTCGAATCCCAGGACAAAAAAAAAAAAAGTCTCATGGACTTTCTTGCCTTGAACCACAATCTTCAGCTCTTAGCCTCCTGAGTAGCTAGGATTACACCTGTACCTCTATCAGTAGTCACCCTGGATTAAGACAGAAGTTAGTCCAGGCCAATACTTCCCTAAATCACTGCTCAAAAAAGGCACCAGGCACTGGGCACCATTGGCTCACACTTATAATCCTAAGCTACTCACTTAGAAGGCTGAGATCTGAGGATAGAGGTTTGAAGCCAGCCCAGGCAGAAAAGTCCCCATGAGACTCTTATCTCTAATTAACCACTCAAAAACCAGAAATGGAACTGTGGCTCAAGTATTAGAGCCTTGAGCACAAAGAGGCTCAGGGACAGTGCCCAGGCCCTGAGTTCAAACCCCACAACCGACCAAAAATAAATAAAAACAATATTTATTTTATACAGAAATCACTTCTCAAATTTGAGTAAAGCTAGTTGTTTATTGGATGTCATTATGAACGTTCCCTCTAATACTAATAACAATAATAATTTGAATTTATGCAAATCAGTTCACAATTCTCATAGTGCTTCCTCTAAAGAAAGCATTGAATCACATAGCAAGCTTTGGTTTAGTTAGGCATTTTCCATACTCATTTTATAATCAGGAAAAATAATCTAAAGTGTTAAGAAACCTGCTTGCTCCAAGTCTGTTCTCCATTCAGCAGCTAGAACGATACTGAATACAAGTCAAATCATGTCAGATCTCTGCTCAAAGTTCCAGGTTCCCACCCTAGTCTGGAAAAAAAAAACAAAGCAACAAAGTAATCTCCAACCTTTTTTTTTTTTTGGCTAATAGCCTCCTTAGGACCTCAGTAACAACTTGGCCCATTCTTTCACTCCAAGTCTTTTTTGTAGAAGTCATGTCTCTCTGTCTGTCTGTCTGTCTGTCTGTCTCTGTCTCTCTCTCTCTCTCTTTCTCTTTCTCTCTCTGTGTCTCTGTCTTTCTCTCTTTTTTCCCAGTCCTGGGGCTTGAACCCTTGAGGACCTAGCCACTGTCCCTGAGCTTTGTTTGCTCAAGGCTAGCACTCTACCACTTGAACCACAGTGCTGTAGAAGCCATTTCTCTAGGGATTACTTCTAACCCTTCTCCTTACTTAAAAATTACAACCTGTTTCCCCAAGTTTTTCTATCATGCTTGCTTATTACCTTCTGACACAGCATTCAACTTACTTGTCAAGATTATTGTCCATTTATTGGGTGAAAATGTGAATTGTCTAAGGGCAGAGCCTCTGATTGCTGCACAGAGTTTGTGTATCCCAAGTTCCTGGCAAATGTCTGGCACACAGTGAGTGAGTGCTCTATATTGAATAATGCATGCAGACCACATAGAAAGCTTGGAACTGATATAGAACTTCATGTTCTTATTGTTACTTCCTCTGGTAGAAAGATGGACACTAGAATTTAAAAATGAAGGAGCAGTAAATGTATCTAGTGAATTTTCAGGCCTGTTTAGTCCAGAACTGTGCCCTTTGAAACCACTCCCTCCCCAGTTACCATTGTCCTCCCCTCAAGAGAACATCCTGTTATCCAATGTCCCTCAAAAATATCTTTCAGATCTGTGTCACTGGCTATTTTTTTTCATACTAGCAGAGGACTAAGCAAAAGAGGCATGAATCATCACCCTAGAGCTGAGCTGAGAGGAACTTTTTACTATAGAGGGGTGGCCCAGGGGAGGGGGCCAGGCTAGCCAGTGTGGACTGTGAAGTATACCCCTGGGACCTGTGGCATTCAGGGTATAGTGGGAGGGAGGGTGGAGACGTTAGAAATGAAGGTGAGGGTGGATGTTTTTCTCCCTGGAAGCCACAAGCATTTGGGCTGTAAGATACCTGGGTCTATTCCAGTCTGAGGTAATGATATTGTTCATTCCCAGAGGGGAACAGGCGAAAGAAAAGGAGCTGCTGGCTTCTCCCAGGGTGCACATAGACAATCCAGGCTCATACACAAGTCTGTAGTCAGGAAGACAGTGCTATTAAACCAAATAGTGTTTAACTGGAAAAAAAAAATCAATGCTGGGAATGTAGCTCAGTGATAGAGTGTTTGCCAAGTATGAACCAGGCCCTTGATTTGTTCTGGGGGTGAGGAGGGGGATAAAAAAGACTCTGTTGGACCTTATATTCCTGTGTCATGTTGGAGAAGGTTCACTTTGGTTTGGATGGGTTTCCATTTCGTTCAGTTGGCATCCATTTGGCGTTCTGGCCTCAATCACGTGACCATGTGGGAAGTGGTCTAACAGGTCATGTGGCACTTGTGTGTGGGTGCTTGTGCCAGGACATTTGCTGAAAATTGTTTTTCTGACCTGGTGTACACTTTGGAAAGAAACACAGGGAGGAAAAATGACTTCCTTCTTGACCTCAAGTCATATGTCCCATGACCAGTTTCATTTGAGCATCAATAAGCCCCCAGTGAGCCAGGATTACCCTCCTTTATGATACACAACTGCTCAGTGGGTCTCAATGAAACAAACCCCCTGCTGTGTTGCCACGAAGCCTGCTTTTCTCCCCTTATCACCAGTTCAGTGTGGGTGGAGTTTGTCCCCAAGTGTTTACTGAGAGTTCTGATTAGAGTATTTGAAGTCAAATGATGGGCTTTAACCTCCAAATATCCCCCCAACATACGCACACAAAATGTAGTTAATGACTCCCTGTAGCTTCTTGACTTATTTTTTTGTACCAAAGCTGATTATTCTAAATGAGAACCAAGTTTTGCAAGTTCATCAAACCTGATCAAATGTCTTATGGGAACTCAGAAACTTAAAGCTTGGAAGTTATATTCCAGTGTGTAAAGGCAAAATGTCAGAGGCCTGACTTTGACATGGAGACCAGCAGACCATGAGTCCACACTGCAGCTTAGAGGGTCAGTCTCATAGAGGCCAGCAGACTGTGATCCCACACTAGGTTAGAGAGTCAATGTCATGGAGCCCACACGGTAGCTGAGAAGGTCAGTATGTTGATCCTCATCCTCTGTGTATGTTTCCCATGAATCTTCTATTGTAAAATCAACACCTGACCAATACTATGCTAGGTCTTTTGCCACCCTTTTCCCTCTCACCTCTCCCTCTCTTTACAAAAAGAGTACTTTTCTTTCCCCCTTGGAAACACCATAGCATATCAGCTCTCAAAGGCTTTAGTCTCAGGATCCCTTTATAGTGTTAAAAATTGTTATGAACTAAATGTTTTTGTATATGTGGATTTGTATAAATGGAAAAAGTGAGTTTTTTTGTTTGTTTGTTTTGTCTAGTGCCAGGAGTTGAATTGAAAGCCTTAAGCTTGCTAGGCAAATGCTATACCACTGAACTACACCCATGCCCTAAAAAGAAAATCTTTAAAACACACTAATACATAAGCACATATACTGTTGGCTAATCATATAACTTCTGGAAATTTTTCTGGTACATTCCATTATGTCTTAAGATATTGAGACTGGAAAGGAGAAATAACAACTTAGTATTATGAAAAGTGTTTTCATTTTGAGAACTAAGAGGGTGTTGGAATTCTAAGGCATCTCTAGATCACATTTTGATAATGGCTGATGTTTTATATTGTCTGGAGTTTATATCATGGAGGTTTCTAGACCACTGCAATGACAGAAGTTTTGAAATGTTGTCCAGTAAAGCAGTTATTCTTCCAATAAAATTGAGCATACTATATTTAATAATTACTCATGTTATCTTTAGTATCAGTTGTGTCCTAATTAATAATTATAAGTATAATCAATCCAGTTGAAGACAAAATTTCAGTTTCAATGAATACATATGTATTTGTAGTTATGAGGTATCACTGAGCTTTGTTGTTGTTGTTTTTGATGTTGTAGATGGAACACCGTGCCTTATGAACACTAAGCATGCCCTTTACCACTGAGCTACATCCCATTTTAAGGTTAATAACTAATGAGTCTCCAACATTCACCTGTATACTACAGGATAAAACTCTCAGGGCGAAGTAGAAAATTAATGGTTGAAACCTATTCCTGAAGGCAGATTTCAGTGGCCATGTTGATGTCCACATATTCAAATTATGTTCTTTGCAGCCTTTCAAATTATGAAAAATTAGAATATGAATGAATAAAATATATAAGAGGCTACATCTATTTTCCACAATTCTTTGGAAAGAATATAAGCAGAGAATATAGACTCCTGAGTCAGAGTATTCCCAAGTACTCTTTATTGATGGGCTTGAGATGAATATTTCTCCTCTTGAAATAACACAGTGGTGAGGATCAGTTTCATCTTTTCCTTGGAAATGACCAAAATATGAAAAGATAGAGTTCCTATCTGAAATTTTACTATTTAGGATTTCCCTCCTGTCAGAAGGAAATACTCCTCATCTTGGAAAATTAAAACACCATGAAATAACTGTCATATTCTCAGCATAATGTTTTGTTTTGTTTTGTTTTTTAGAGAAAGGAAAAGTCACCACAGAATCCTTAGACAGAGAGACATGGGTTTAGTTCTTTCTTGAGGTCCTATCTAGTCAGTAAAATCAGACACTAGAGAGAACTTCTGAGTGGAAAGTAACAGAAACTTATTAATTCTGATTTATTTTGTATGTATGCATGCACATTAACTCCTCAGGAGAAGGACTGATGTAAAAGGGACCAGCTTTGCATTTTTTTCTTACATTTTCTCCCAGGCAAGACCCTGTGCCACACAGCGACCCCCTAGCCTCTGTCCTGAACAGCAGTGGCTGCTGCATCCACCCTAGAACAGCCTTTTACTGGCCTTTTTCTGCAACAGTTTTTCCCTTCCATTTTTCAAATATTTAATCACTCCATTAGTGACAAGCTTTAAATTTAAAAATAATCAGATGGAAAATTCCACACCCAAGTAGACAAATGGAAGAAAACAAAATAGCCCTTTCAAGTAAAAGCAAATAGGGATACATTTTCAAAACTGTTATGGCTTTAGCTTCATCATGTACCAGAGATATAGAAGTTTTCAGATTCCATGAAGTAGTATATCTAGCTATATTTTAAAAAGTAACCTGCTAAATTTTGGAATCATTTCAGACTAAAAGAAAGCTGCAGAGATAGTATAGGGAAGTCTCATAAATCTACCTTCCCTATTATTAATACAATACAGCATCTTATATAAGTATGAAATATTTGTTACAATTGATATATTAATTCAGGTAGCCTGATACTAGTTCGGGTTCAAATTTATTAGTTTTTTCCCTCTTTTTATTTATTATCTTCAAATAGTTGTACAAAGGGGTTTGGATTTAACATGTCCATTTATATATACAATACATCTTGATCAGTTTCACAAACCCTTCCATCATTCTCCTGTAGGATATCACATTCAATTTAGTCATCTTTGTCTCCTTAGCCCTCTTTCTGTTTCACCTGACCTTGAGGGGTCTTGAAGATTACTGGTCAGATGTTTTGTAGAAAGTAATACAACTTGGACCTGCCTGATACTTTTTCATGATTAGACTGAGGTTTTTACTGTAAAGAGGAAGACTCTAGATGTCATTCTCATCACAGCACACTAAGATGCATTCTGTCTACAGGATTGTCACTGTTAGCATGACCTGTAATGATCTGTCCCAAGTGTTTGTCAGTTTCTCCATTCTGAAGTTTTCCTTCTTTCCCCTCTCTCTACTATATTCTTTGGAAGGATGTCACTATGTGCAGCCCACATTTAGAGAGAGGGGAGTTATGCTCCACTTCCTCAAGGAAGGGGTATCTAAGTAGACTATTGAAGTCCTTCTCTATGGGAGATTTGACTATTTTCTCCTACTTAATTTAATTGTTATATTTTAAATAATCCATATTCATGGATATTTATTTTATACTTTGGGTTATAATTTAATGCTACTTTATTTTCTTGTTCAAATTGTAATCTTATCCATTGAAAGGGGTGTGTGTGTGTGTGTGTGTGTGTGTGTACGCGCGCGCGCACGCAAGTGCTGGACCTGAGACTTGAACTTGGGGTTTGGGTACTGTCCCTGTGCTCTTCAACTAAAGGTGAGCGCTCTACCACTTGAGCACAGCACCACTTCCCTGGGCGCTATCCTTGAGCTTTTTTTTTTTGCCTAAGGCTAACACTCTACTACGTGAGCCATAACTCCTCTTCCAGTTATTTTGTTTGTTTGTTTTGGTGGCTAATTGGAGATAAGAGTCTTATGGACTTTCCTGCCCAGACTGGCTTTGAACTGTGATCCTCAGATCTCAGCTTCGAAAGTAGCTAGGATTATACTGTATGGGTGTGGGGGTTCCTGGCGCCCAGCCCACTGGGAGCTGTTTAGCTCAGTTCTGGGTATCTATATATAACATGATAAATCAAATCATTGTCTGTGTCTGTTTGTTGTATGCTATGTTTGTGCCATACCTCACTCCACATTCATCTTACATCATTTATGCTCTAGTGAGAGATCTCCATTTCTCCAAGGAGCTATGGTTATTTTTATTGGAGAATGATATTAGAAACCAAGAACTGGGTATTTTTTCTATTTAAAATTAATGAATATTAGGGCTGGGAAGGTGGCTCAGTGGTAGAGCACTTGCCTTGCATGCCTGAGGCCCTGGGTTCGATTCCTCAGCACCATATAAGCAAAAAGAAAAAAGCCGGAAGTGGCGCTGTGACTCAAGTGGTAGAGTGCTAGTCTTGAGCTGAAGAGCTGAGGGACAGTGCCCAGGCCCAGAGTTCAGGCCCCACGACAGACCCCCTCCCCCCAAAAAAAATCAAACCAAAATTAATGAATGTTATTTATTCCTATTGCTAAAATACTTTCAAACCTCCAATGGTTAAAAATCAGTCTTTTTTTAGTTAGTATAGTGATTTAGTCATATAATAATTCCTTGTGAACCAATTGATTTTTACTATTAAAAAAGGATTCATGGGCTGGGAAGGTGGCTCAGTGGTAGAGCACTTGCCTTGTATGCATGAGGCATGCAAGGCATCCTCAGCACCACATAAGCAAACAGAAAAAAGCTGGAAGTGGCACTGTGGCTCAAGTGGTAGAGTGCTAGCCTTGAGCTGAAGAGCTGAGGGACAGTGCCCAGGCCCAGAGTTCAGGCCCCAGGACCGGACCCCTCCCCCCCCCAAAAAAAAAAGGATTCATGATCTAAGTCCTGGTGGCTCTGCCCTATAATCCTAGCTACTCAGGAAGTTGAGATCCAGAGGATCAAGATTTGATGCCATTTCAGGCAGAAAAGTCCATGAGACTCCATACCCAAAACAACCAAAAGCAGGGCTGGAGGTGTGACTCAAATGGTAAAGGAGCATAAATCAAATGAGTATGAGGTTCTGAATTCAAATTTCAGTGTACCAAAAGAAAAACAATTTCAACAGATTGTCTAAAATTTTTAAATCTTTGATATTCAGAGTGTCTTAGCATAGTGCCATGATATGTACTGTGAGTCCAGGCAACAGATGATTAGATGAGCCTAACAACTACTTTTCTTGGTGTTGGGGTTGGTGGGTCCTGTTTCTGCTTATAGCAACTTAAGTGTGAACAATACTGTTTTATTGCCTAATATGTCAGCCTTTAGGATCTGAGCAAATGAAAGCAGCTGCCTCCTGAGCCCAAGGCTGCCTTATTTTGGTACCTATGGTCCACCCCAGGTGTTTGCACATCTTTTAAATTAACTTTACATGTTTGGTCTGAAGCCATGAACCAAGAAATTGAAGAAGGATAACCCACAGGCTTCTGGTAGAAAGCAGCCTGTTCCTTTTCTGTGGGTCTTACGGGTGTCCTTCTACTCCAGGTCTGACAGAGACGGCCGTCTTCAGTTGTGAGGCCCACAATGATAAAGGGCTGACTGTGTCTAAAGGCGTGCAGGTCAACATCAAAGGTAAGCAGCAAGGCTGTGTCCCAGGTGTGTCCTGGGGGTGGAGGACACAATGAGAGCTTACCTTAGTCCAGGCTTTTCTACTGCTTTCTTTGTGACCTTGAACAAGTCCCTTCATCTGTTGGGTTTCAGTGTTTGAAAACTGGAGACAATTATTGCTGAGACTTAATGAGAATTAAAAAAACAAAAACAAAAAACACCTCACAACAGTGCATGACTTTTAAGTCTTTGATACATATTAGCTAGTTTAGTACTGTTTAGTCCAGGAAAAAAATTAACTTTTTATGTTTGCTTTTGATTATTTATGCCTATCTTCATTCACCCTTTGAAGAGCTCTGAGGATGGAGTCACTTAGAGCTTGATCTTGGGAATGTGCTCTGTTCCTGAGTCACCAGGGTCTCATGCAAGTCTCTGTCAACTGTTGACTTAGAGGGGTGGGGGGATCTGGGAGCAGAGAGATGGGCAGATTTGCTCTTTTGGGGAGAGAAGTAGCCCTGACCATCTTTCCCCTATATCCTCTCTTTCTTGCTTTCCCTGAGCTTGGATTTCACTAGGGCTAAGCTTGCTTGGCCTGAATTATAGTAATAAAATCAAAGGCCATGTTCCCCGAAGCTATTGAAGATGCTCCTATGCATCTACCTTGTAATCAAAGGTATTGACACCCAAAAATTTAAAGAAAAGGAAAACCTACAAGTAAATACTGTCTTATATCTTTGCAGGTTATCTTGCTTGTTTTCAGAGAAATTCAAACACATTGTATGTGTTACTATTTGATACTAATTTAGGTATTGAGAAGTAAATATTGGGTTCATATTTTCTCCCTCTGATCCTTGGAGAGGCCAACAATGCATACTTAATAATGGTCAGAGGCTAGGCCTCTGTGCAACTACTTGAAGATAATAAAGTATTTTAAAAAATAATAAAGACTGGGGAGATACAGAATAAGATTAAAAACTATGAATATAATTAGAGTAAACAAGGAGCTGATTTTTTTGGTTTCAGGATTCAACCTGTTAAAGATGATGAAAGGGGCTGGGAATGTGGTTTAGTGGTAAAATGCTTGCTGAGCATGCATGAAACCCTGGGTTCTATACCTCAGTACCACATAAACAGAAAAGGCTGGGGGTGGCACTGTGGCTCAAGTGGTAGAATGCTAGCCTTGAGCAAAAGAAACTCAGGGAGTGCCCAAGCCCTGAGTTCAAGCCCAGGACTGCCTCCCCCACCAAAAGACTGTGCGAGGATATTTTCCTTTGTTTTCTTTTCCCTTTTGGCCAGTATTAGAGTTTAAACTCGGGGCTGTGGACTTGCTTGGCTTGCTCACTGTATTTGGTGTTGTACCCTTTGAACCATGCTTCTAGTCCAACTTTGCATCATTTAATTGGAAATGGAATCTCATGGACTTTACTGTCCAGTCTGAGTAGTGAGTGTTACAGGTATGAATCACTAGTGCCTGGCTAACAGAGTGTTTTCTAAACGTTCATTGGAATTTTTATAAAATGAAAAACCAAAAGTGAATACTAGAGGAAGTATATAACTTCCTTCCTCTTTTACAAATCTCATTATTACAATTTGAAAAGATATGTTAGGAATTTCAGAAATTAGTGAGTGGGTACAAATTTGTAAAATCCTTTTTCCTAGAACATAATAAACTTCTTAAAATTTAAAAATGTATAAAATGAGAAGCATTTGATTTTATATTTCACACACATGTTTAAAATCCTGCTTCTAAAACTTGTTTTCAGCTTTTGTTTATGTTAAATTTTCTATCAGAGCAACCAAGATTCCCCTCATTTACACTGTTATTATTGTGACTTGTGTAGCCCAGTTTTGATATGGAAAAGGCAGATTCTTTTTTTTTTATTGTGAAAATACTGTACAGAGGGTTACAATTACATGGGCAAGATAATGAGTACATTTCTTATCAAGCATTTCTTATCCTCCTTTGTTTCCCCTTCCCATCCCTTCCCATCCTCCCCCTGACCCCCCACCCAATCCTCCCCGCTCCTCCCCAAAAGGCAGATTCTTTAGGGAGGTTCTACAAATAATCTGCCTAGGAAACTGAGTGGAACAATACACTGACTACAATTATACTCACAAAATCACACTCCTCAACATGGATCCAGTATGTGCTTAATGTAGTCCCAGCTCCTTTCTCCCCTTACCTCATTCTCTCCATCAGCACTTCACCACACCTAGCCTGGCTGCATGTATTACCTCATTCCCACCACAGGCCCACAAAGCAGTACTACTCCTATCCTCCCTTTGTAAAGGAGAGAACTGATCAGGCATGGAACTGTGCCCAGGGACCTACAGCTGGTTCCATGGTAAATCAGCCTCCCAGGTCCTCCCAGGTGCTCTTAACAATCAGCTTGCTGTCCTTCGTGTGGACCACCAATGTCCTAGAAGCCAGGCAGACTTGGGCTCAAGTTCCTGTTCTACTGTTTATAACCTGTCTTCCTTCCATCCTTCTTTCCTTCTTTCCTTCCTTCCTTCCTTCCTGTCTTTCTGTTTCTTTCCTTTCTCTCTCTTTCTTTCTTTCCTTTCTCTCTCTCTTTCTTTCTTTTCTTTCTTTCTTTCTTTCTGTCCGCCTGTCTATCTTTCTCTCCCTTCCTTCCTTCCTTCCTTCCTTCCTTGCATCTTTCCTTCTTTCTTCTTTTTCTTTGTGCTGGTCCTAGGGCTTGAATTTTTGGCATGAGCACTAGCCTTGAGCTTCTTGTGCTCAAGGCAAGTACTCTGCCACTTGATCCACAGCTCCACTTTTGGCTTTTTAAATATTTTATTAGAGATAAGAGTCTCATGGACCATCCTGCCTGGGCTGGCTTTGAACTGCAATCCTCAGATCTCATCTTCCTGAGTAACTAGGATTACAGGCATGAGTCACTGGCACCCAGCATCTCTCTATGATCTTTGACACACTTTTAACTTTGCTGTTCACTACCCTCGTATGTTAGGAGGGATTGTAAGACTGTCCAGTAAGGTCCAAGTAATATTCAAATGAAGAAAGTCCATGAAGTACCTGGCACACAGTAAGCCCAGAAAATGTTTGCCATCATTTCCTATGATAATTATTATGAGTAATTAAACTTAGTACAAAGAGGTAAGATTTTCCCAATGCAGGGCGTTCTTGTATTCTAACTGATGGAGAAGTCTTTGTCCCAAATGTGCCTAAAGGCATTGCACAGACGTTATACTACATACACCTTCCCCAGCAGATGCAATTGGCTTTTGCTTTAATTGACTCACACGTCTTCTAGGCTTGGAAAGTCACACACACACACACACACACACACACACACACACACACACACACGCACCCCAGTGACATGACTCTTTTGGGCACAGGATGAAATCTTATCTGTGGTAACTGAGTCTCCTGCTCTCTACAAGGACAGAGTGAAGCGCTTCATCACTGCCCTTGTGCCCTCACAGAAGGGTCAAGAATGCTTACTGAGTGAAGGACATGGGTATCTCCGTGTTCTTTTCTAGTTAAAAGGTCTCCTTACTTCATCAGAAAGCAGAAAAGTGGATCTGTGTTCCACTTCTCAGGTCCAAGCAGGACCATGCCATTGCTGAAAGTCTGCTCACAGGCTAATTACCCCCCAAGCCTAAGTGGTCCTCTTGAAGGAGTGTCCTTCCTTTTGCTAATCTCAGAATATATTGTCTTAATATGACCATTTGGTAGCTGTGGCCTCTCTTGATTTAAGCATGTGTGTTTGTTTTTATCTAGCAATTCCCTCTCCACCAACTGAAGTCTTCATCCACAACAGTACAGCACATAGCATTCTGATCTCCTGGGTCCCGGGGTTTGATGGCTACTCTCCATTTAAGAACTGCAGCATTCAGGTAATCCTCCAGGATGTAGAGGGAAGTTGTGGGTTGGCTCTTGATGGAGCTCCCTGGTTTTCTTTCCTTCCCAGGGCAGCCCTGAGTAGATGTCTCCACCTCCACTTTTGTCCAGAATCCCTTGTTCTCCCCAGGCATCATCTACCATCCTACCCTGCCTCATGGTGCTTTGTGTACAATGTTGCTTCCTCCTATGCCTGGTCCAGGACTCAGCTAGAAGAGAAGCATGTTTCCAAGGGAGAATATCAGGAGACCAGGGAGAAGTAATTGGTAATCACAAAAACATCTCCCTAAATCTTAACCAGGAGTTCGGAAAGCCAGGGGCTCCCTAGTGTGTCTCTTCATTCAAGACGTAAGTCACCTGTGACAGTAAATGTGGCACATTAGCCAGAAGGTTATAAGCCTGTAGGTTCTTTAGCCCTTCCTAACAGCTACCTAAATTTGTATGAAACAGTGGTGAAATAACTAGGTTAGTCAGCCTAAAATAATCCCTGTCATGATGTGAGATTTCTTCTCCTATTTCATCAAAGCACTAATACTACTGTTGAATGAGTGTCCTCAAGGTCCAGGTATATTGCATATGTTATCTTACTTAGGACACACCAGCCCCACAGGCTCAGAGAGCTCATTCAGCCTGTGAGCAGCAGCCTGCAGTTCAAACCGAGGAAGATCTGATGCCAACAGTAGAGCTGAGCACAACTGGCTTGCTGTATAGTCAGGAGAGACATGTTGTATAGAAGTGGGTTTCTAAACACCCAGAGATCATCCAAGGACAATGCAAATGTGTTCTGCCTTGTACTTAATCACATGGCAGGGATAAGAATTATTAGTTTCTCCAGTATCTTATTCATTAAAATGATAACTCAGTACAGGCCAGTCATGTCAAAATTGACTTAAGAGAAGTGACTTCCAAAGAATTTTGTGTTGACATGATGTTTTTAATACCAACTAGAATGAATTTCTTTGCCCTTGGTGCCTCCTACTCTTTATCTAGCAGCTGTTCCTTCTCTGAGGAATAAAAACATGTATTATCCCCAAAATAGCCTTTACCCTCACCCTACCACCCCCACCCAGCCTTGCTTAATTATTACCCAACACTGCTTACAAACCTCCCAAGAACTCCAATCTCCCAAATAAGATTTAGGAACTCTTCCTATCTCTACAATTCCTTACCAGGGATACTGTCTTAAAACAAAACAACAACACACCGACTCAGTGGAGCTTAGGAGGAAGCCCTGAACTGAAATTTCACAGGGCTTATAAAGGCAAAAACCACAAAGTTACAGCAACCAGATGTGTTAATAGGACATTCTAGGGCGATAAGGGGTGATAGGGGGTTATCAGATCATTTGGGCCAGGGCAATAAAGGGCAGTAGGGGGTTATCAGACCATTTGGGCTAGGGCAATAAAGGGCAGGGGGTATCTGTGAAGTGAGGGGAGTTTGTGGCCACAAATAACTCTGTCCTTGGGATTTATGTGAGCTCTGGTTAACTTCAACACAGACAGGTTAGTTCCTGGAATTTATGTTTGCTTTAGGTCACTCATAATTTAACATAAATGACAGAATGGCCGCTGCCTCAAAATGGAGTTACTTCAACTCTTCACAACCATCATCATCTGATTTTGTCTATATTTATAAGAGATACTGATGTGTCGTTTTCTTCCTACTGCTTTTTCTTTGGCATCATGTGCTGATGGTTTTATTTTATAATAAAGTCCTTCTGCTTCTTTGAGGAAGTTATGGATGTGTCAGTGAAACCATTCTGTCCTAGGCTTTTCTTTATAGGGTTTTAGTTTAATATTTATTTATTATATGGTAGTTTGTGTGTTTCTAGGACTTTGATCATTTCATCTAAGTGATCTAATTTGTTGGGTATACAACAAATTAGCCGTTATGTCACATAGTATCACATTATAACCAATCAATATCTTTTAGGTCTTGTTACATGCCAATTCAGAGCTCTGTAGCTAGGAACAACCAGGCTTGGAAGTAGTCTTTTGTATCTGAACATAATGAGCCAGCCTTTCTTAAAACTTTTACCAAGTGCTGAACTCTTCCAAGAGTCTAAGGGGCGGGGCACTCAGCGTCCTTCTCATGGGGAGTAGATAACTTCAGGAAGATTGAGCAGCACTGCCATTTTGAGAGAGTAGACCTGGAAGGTGAAAGATGCTCACATATTAGCTGGCCAGGCACTGATGGCTCATGCCACCAGCTACTCAGGAGGCTGTGATCTGAGGATTATAGTTCAGAGCCAGTCCAGGCAGGAAAGTATGTGAGGCTTGTATCTCCATTTAACTGCCAAAAAGCTGGAAGTGGAGCTGTGGCTTAAGTGGGAGAGCCTTGGGTAGAAAGACTAAGGAAGCCAGGCACCAGTGGCTCACATCTGTAATCCTAGCTACTCTGGAGGCCCAAATCTGAGGATTGCTTTTCAAAGCCAGCCCAGGCAGGAAATTCTGTGGGACTCTTTATCTCCAGTAAACCACTCAAAAAAGCCAGAAGTGGTGTTGTAGCTCAAGTGATAGAGCACTTACCTTGAACAAAAGGAACTCAGGGACAGTGCCCAGGCTCAGAATTCAAGCCCCGGGACTGGTTAAAAAAAATTTTTTTTAAAAAAGGCTAAAGAAAAAAGCACTCAAGTTCTGAGTTCAAAAAATCAAAATAAATAAAAATAAGCTTCAGTGGCTGTGCCGTGGCACCTGAGATAAATTATCATCTTGGACAGCCAAATCAGAGGCTTCTGCTGCCCACTTTGGATGTGTGGTGGATGGGATTATTCAGTCCTTGCCCCACCAGCTAGCCCTGCCTGCCCACACCCATCCTCCTTTCCATTTCTGGTAGGATTACTAGCTTAGCAAATATGAATACAGGACATCCTGCTAAATTCCACAAGCGATCTTGTGCTTTGTTCACACTGAAACTTTATGCTATTGATCTCAAATTCATATGCAGTTGAGCATCCTTTATTTTCTCAACAGTCCTGCTGGGGTTAGTTTCCATGGCTTTTAGAAGTTACATTTTTATATTCTGTTGCTTGTGTCTTCCCACTCCTGAAGGAACCAAGTATGGTTTTGCCGTTCATTACAATTTTAAACTCTGACTGGGTAACAAATGAATGTTTTGGATGAGATTCAGGCCCATGTACTAGCAGGACACACCCTCTCGTTTCCTTTGGTCCTGATGTTAGTTCCTTTTTTTCACCCATTTTTGGGTCCCAGATTCCATTTCTATTTTTAACTTTCCATGTACTTCTTGCCATTTCATGCCCCCTTCTTCCCTGGGGTCCACAGAGAAGGACCAATATGGAAACCCCTTCTTCTAGGAACATACTGTCAAAAACTGTCACTGTGCCTGGAAATGCCCTGGGTATGGCTCCGGAAATGGAATGGAGGCAGAGAGCCAACACCTTCCTCCTTAGTTTTAGTGGTTTGTCACCAGGAAGTAGTTGCATACTCCAATGTGAAAGAACAAAAAGTCACTTCTGCCAACAGCCACCCCCGAGATAAGCACATGACCTTTATTTCTCCTCAGATGGCTTCTCAGGGCCAACTGGTACCTTCCTGTCACCCACAGGGTCTGAGTCAGAGGTGGGACTCAGTCCCCATAACCATCATCATCGTATTTCCAGGAGATTGGGATTCTAAAATATTTATTTATGGCCTCTTGCTCTAAATTTCAAACATACATCTCAAAATAGCAACAATGGATATCCACATCCCTAAATGCATCCTCATAATTATCCTCATAATTTACCTAATATTATTCTGCCTCCTATGATTTTTTTTTGGGGGGGGTGGCAGTCTAGGGCTTGAATTCTAGGTCAGGGTACTGTCCTTTAACTTTTTCAATCAAGGGTAGCACTCCCACTTGAGCTACAGCTCCACTTCTGGCTTTTTGATGGTTAATTGGAGATAAGAGTCTCATAGACTTAAGTGCCTAAACTGGCTTCAAACTATAATTCTCAGATCTCAATTTCCTGAGAAGCTAGGATTACAGGTGTGAGCCATCAATGCTTGAGTCCTCTGATGTTATAAATACTACACATTGTTGAATTTTTTTGGGGGGGGTGCACATGTAGTGGGAAACCTGTTTTGCCAAGAATTTCTCTCATGCTGGACAAACAGATTTGGAGGGAGGTGTGGGACGACTCATGGAGGGAAAGAAGAGGAAATACATGTTTAAAGGAAATTTGGAGACAGGTTTGCTACGTGAGATATGAATGACCCTTTCTGTTTCTTCCCATTGTACCTAAATACCGTAAAATGTACACTATCTATGCATGCTTTTGTGTTGAATTCCTAGGGCAGCAGAGAGCAGTAAGGATACAGTACACGCTACTAAAACTAGCCCCAAGGCAAGAGCATGACCCGGAGGTTAGGTAATGGGAAGAGTAGAGTTTTGCTGGAGACAGTGGCTTGTATTCCAGGCGCATCTATAAGCCACGCTACTAAGGAGGCCGAGGCAAAGAAGACTGCAAGTCTGAGGCCCATCTGGGCAACTTAGCTATTGAGTCCTGTCTCAAGATAAAGATTAAAAAAGAGAGAGAGAGCTGAAATGTAACTGAATTGTAGAGCACTTGTGTAGCATGCACCAGGCTCTGGGTTCAATCCTAATGACTGTACAAACAAAATAAAACATTAACAGAATAATTCTCAGAATTGTGGTGGGCCTAAGAGAAGGCTATGTTATTTTGAGTACTTTATTTTAGAGCCACTTTAATTGTAAGCTACTTTACTGTCTAGTACCAGGTTATAAACATGTAATATTGTAATGATAATTTCTTGATCGTTACCTGTTGCAATGAGACCCCTTGTAGTCTAGACTGTGGTTGTCCCTGTACCATGAGTAACACACAGCAATACCCGTGAGAAACCATGTGTATCCTGACCGGAAGCAGGTCCTTCCCCTGCTACAGAGGAACTAAACACTGTGTGTCCGTATCTGACATACCCACCACCTTACTAATGCTGGCCTACATTTTTACTCTTCATTTAGGTGAAGGAAGTAGATCCACTGAGTAATGGCTCAGTCATGGTTTTTAACACCTCAGCCTCACCACATCTGTATCACATCCAGCAGCTGCAGGCCCTGGCTAACTACAGCATTGGGATGTCCTGTATGAATGAAATAGGCTGGTCTGCAGTGAGCCCTTGGATTCCTGCCAGCACAACTGAAGGAGGTAATTCCTGAGGTCCACGATAAATGTTCCCTCCAATGGCATAGGCTCAAACAAAGCTTTCCAGTAACCTGATTTGATGTGTTCACTTTGCTTATTTGGACTTCATGTCTGGAGGTACATTATATTGATGTGGCCAATAAAATAGGAAGATATTGGTAATTTAAAAAGATTTAGTTGCTGGGCGCTGGTGGCTCACGCCTGTCATCCTAGTTACTCAGTAGGCGGAGATCTGAGGATCGCAGTTCAAAGCCAGCCCAGGAAGGAAAGTCTGTGAGACTCTTATCTCCAATTAACCATCAGAAAACTGGAAGTGGTGCTGTGGCTCAAGTGGTAGAGCGTAGCCTTGAGCTGAAGAGCTGAAGGACAGCACCGAGGCCCAGAGTTCAAGCCCCATGACCAACAAAAAAAAAAACAAAACAAACACAGAGTTCATGCCCATAACCAATAAAAAAAAATTTAGTACTGATATAGTTCAGTGGCTCAAGCCTATAATCAGTTACTTGAGAGTCAGAGATCAGAGGATCTTGGTTCAAAGCCAGCCCTAGCAATAAAATAAAATAAAATGAACATGTTCACAAGACTTGATTTCAACCAATAGATCGGATGGTGGTATCTGCTTATGATTCCAAACTATGGGAGAAGCAGAGAGGCTGAATGCAGAAGCACACATCTGTCATCCAAGACTGTCATCCTAGTCATACAAGGAAGCACAAATATGAGGATCAAAGTCTAGGCTGGCTTGGACATAACCAATGCAAATAGGGTTGGAGATGTGGCTCAAGTGGTACAGTATGTGAGTTCAAACTTCAGTACCACTAAAAACTTGTATATACTATATAAAGGTAGCATTGTCTTCCTTCCTTCCTTCCTTCCTTCCTTCCTTCCTTCCTTCCT